TTGACAGTAGATTATCACTTAAGTGGAACCTCAATTCCAGCTGCCAAAAAAAAAAAACAAAGCTCAGGAAGATATTTTCTAATATTTAAAGAAAAACTCTTTAACTTAATGTAATGTTCACTTCCTGGGTCAAGGGCCTGTTGTGAAGGCTTTTGAGCAGACTGGGTTTATTTAACCCAGTTAGCCGCTAGCCTTGATCTAGTTATTTGATCTGCCCCTACAAGTGAATCACTTCTATCAGACCAAATCACTCTCACCTGGTCATCAACGGGCTCCACACACTTCCTCCAGTTGTATCCCAAGACCCACAAATGCAAGTTTTACGCCAAGGAAGCAACTCGAGAGTTACCACCAATATTTGGGAGTTTCTTCCATGCTTCCAGATCTTGACAGGGGAGGCTCGTAAGGGAGTGCCTAACACTGTTAGCCACTCTGCAGCTTTGAAGGATAAATGGGAAGGTTTGGCTAAGATCGGTGGTCTCCAACTTCTCTGGCTTGGCAGCCCGGAGGTTGGAGGGGTTTGTTTGATGCGAGTGGCAGGTGTGGGTTCACACCAGAGACGGTATATTCAGCAGGTTCTGACCAGTTCTGGAAAACCGGTAGCGGAAATTTTTAGTAGTTCGGAGAACCGGCAAATACCGCCTCTGACTGGCCCCACCTCCATCTATTCTCTGCCTCCCATTGAGTCCCAGCTGATCAGCTGGGTCTTCTTTTGTTGCCCTGCACAGGAGAACAGAGCTGGAAAGCAGGTTAGTGGGCTTGGGAGGGAATGAGGATTTTGCAGTGTCCTTCCCCTGCCACGCCCATCAAACCACACCCACAGAACCGGTAGTAAAAAAATAAAAATTGAATCCCACCACTGGTTCACACAGCTCCATTTGTGCGAGTGAATGGATCTTCGTGCAAGAGTGCAAGCACCCACCCCTTGCACGAATGGGAGCTTTGCACACACACAAACATGCTCGTTCGCCACTCGCACAAGTGCAGCGGTGTGTGCATACCTGCTCGCCATCACAGCACCCAGTTCTGAATGGGCCACGGCTCTGTTAATGAGCTGCGGTCCAGGGATTGGAGAGCCCCGCTTTATATGTCTGCAATGTAGCTCTTTAAGAAGAGATTGGACAGCCACTTGTCTGGAATGGTGTAAGGCAGGGGTCCCCAAACTTGGCGACTTTAAGACATGTGGACGTCAACTCCCAGAATTCTGGGCGTTGAAGTCCACAAGTCTTAAAGTTGCCAAGTTTGGAGACCTCTGGTATAAGACTTCCTACTTGAGCAGGGGGTTGGACTAGAAGATCTCCATGGCCCCTTCCAACTGATTAGAAGACAATTGGGTTCACAATGACCTCAGTAATTAGGGTTTAAAACTGTCCCCTCTTTTTTTCCCAAATCAACCTATTACGACACACCTGATGCCAAGGACGTAATTTTCCCACCATTTAGCTGTTTAAATAGTTCAACGCCATCGTTCTAAAATCAGCTTGTCTGCGTGTCAACTCCTCCCTCCCCCACCCCAAAAATCTTGCAGAGCCAGTTGGGAATGACCAAACCCCCTTGTTTCCCACAATATCAAACGACACGACGACGTTTCTTTGGTTTGGAACTTTATTTGGACTCCAACCTGAATGTGTGAGAACAAAGCGGAGTTTCACACACGGCTAAGCCCGAATAGGAGTTGGCCTAACTTTGGCTTTTAGTGTGTTGCGTGTGTGAGCCTTCCCGTTGCAGTTCTTCCAACGAAACCAGGTTACGCTAACTAAATCTAAGGGATACTCTATGCCCACCTATTGGCTAACATGTCAGGCTAAAAGTGGGAAGACACGGGGATTAATCCCTAGTCAACAACAACAACAACAATACACACACAGTTGTCTGCTTCTCGTTTTTTGTCTATTAGCCTACCTGACAATCTTGCCTTCAAGGATACAAAACCTGTGGAAGCTGCTACACTGGGAAAGGATGCAACACTCAAGGGGAAACACAGGTAGTCCGCAATTTAGGACCGCAATTGAGCTCAAAATTTCTCCGGCTAAGCGAGACTGTTAAGCGGATTTCGCCCCATTGTCCAATCTTTCCTGCCACAGTTGTTAAGTGACTATTGCACTCATTAGTCACACGGTTGTTAAGTGAACCTGGCTTCCTGTCATGCGCTTGTTGGAGTCTGATTCTGAGGGAGAGATTGAGCAGCTGACAGGGAGTGGGAGTGTGGCTCTGTGGCTGTGGAAGAAACGGGGGAAGGGCACAGTCCGGCTGGGCATTCAGAGGAAGACCCAGGGCCATCCCCGCTTCATCCTAGGGCATGCAGGGAGGAACAGAGAAGGGAGCAACATGACTTACGGGAAAGGAAAGGGCCCTGATCCCTTTCATTAGTTGCAGCTGGGAGAACAGGATATAAGTGGGGCGTTTGCATACAGCTCCTTGCTGGAAGCAAAGCATGCATTGTCTTTGTCAAGGCTTATCTGGGTTTTGGCATCCTCCCAACTGTGGGGGCTGCGTTATCTTTTGGAAGTCTGCAATTTATCATCCTGGCTTGCTGTGTTAATTACTTCAGTGTGATTTGTGTTCGTCTTTTAATTTCTAATTATCTTTACTTTGGGTTCGGACTGCATTTCTTTTCTTCATAAACTGTTTTTGGAAGAGTTTGATATCCAGCCGTGGACAATTGGACATTGGGGGCCAAGTTGGAGGCATTAAAGGGAATTTATCCTACTTTTGTGACTTTGTTATTTTTGTGTCACGCCCCGGGTCATCGCGCTTCCCCACTTGTCACACACACACATACACAGGGAACGCTGCAACTGTCCTAAATATGAGCCAGTTGCCAAGCATCTGAATTTTGACCATGGGGATGCTGCTGCAACAGTCGTTAAGTGTGAAAAGCGGCCGTAAGTTGCTTTTTTCCCCCAATGTGGTTGTTAACTTTGAATGGTCGCTAAGGAAACTGCTGTAAGTTGAGGACTACCTGTATCCTTGAGACAGGAGGAGGAAAGCCACAGCCAAGGGCAAGAGTCAATAGGTCACTTTTTTTCAGAGCCATTGTTAACTTTGAACGGTCACTAAACGAACTGAGGATTATTTGCCGTTATTTTTGCCTGTCCCGAATTGCTTTTCCTTCAATTTCCCCCAGCTTTTACTACTGAACGAACCTTTACCCTTCCTCGTTTTCTCTACTCTATTCATACATTTTACACAAACCTACCATCTCTCTTTCCCCTTTATACTTTCCTTTAAAATGCAGGCATCTTCCCTATTAGATGCTTAGCAGCCGCCACTGTAATCCAAACCTACTTTCTCCTTTATTGTTTACTGTTAATTGACTAAAGGATGCCCTTTTTTTTTATCCAAAGTCACGTTCTTTTGAAAACAATTTGTGAAGGACATCTGCTAAGGGTGGGGACTAGAGCTATTGAAGATGGAAGGGGACAGTGGCGGGATCCAACAAGTTTTACCACCGGTTTGGCGGGTGTGGCTTGGCGGGCGCGCTTCGTGCGCGTGCACCAAACTTTGCAGGCCCGTGCACACCAAACGCACCCTTTGCACAGGCATTCCAACTCACCTCCTACAAGCCTGTATTCTCCCGGTTGCTTCAGCAAGCTGCCGCGCAACACTCTTGCTGTGCCGCGCAAAGCAGCTGCGCTTCAAATTCGGAGGATAAAACCAGGAGCCCAGGCGGATGGGTGGGCCTAACAGCAGAGCAGTGGAGAAGACCGGTTCTGTCTCCGCTGCTCATCGCCGCTACCGGCTCGGTAGAACCGGGACGAACCAATAGAATACCACCACTCGGAAAGAGATGAATTCTTCCTCTCCTCTCATTTCTGCCTTCTCTTCACAGAACGGGGACATGCAGGCCCTGACATTATCACGAGGCCTGTTCAGATTTACCTTCCCAGATTGTGGGAATCAGTCAACCAGGGTTCACAATCAATTAGAGGTAGTCCTTGACTTACAACCACAACCGAGCCCAACATTTCTGTTGCTAAGCCAGATGGTTGGCGAGGTTTGCCCCATTTTTGCAACCTTCCTTGCAACAGTTGTGTCAATCACTGCAGTTGTTAAAATTAGTCACGCGGTTGACTTTGCTTGCCAAAGTCGCAAAAAAGGGATCCCAGGATAGCGAAACCATCGTAAATACCCGCTAGTTCCCCATCATCTGAATTGTGATCACGGGACCGGCAACAATGGCATGAAAAACAGGTCATAAATCACTTTTTCCGGTGCCGTCAAGTACTGTATCCTGCAATATTCTATTCCAGAACCTTCTCTCTTTTGTAATCTACCATATATACACACAAATAAGCCGAGAATTTAAGGCTCCAAAACGTACCCAAAATCAGATTTGGCTTATCCATTTGTATATACGGTTAATGTATTGTAAAAATTACTCATATATCTCATAGAGGCCCATCTTTAGCTAAGGAGACCCTTGAATTTTTTTAACCAAACTGTCATGAAAAATGCAGGTTGGCTTATCGGTGAGTGGCACGTTTTTCAGTGTTTTTTTCCACAGAATTTAGGGCCTGTTGACTCACACGTGGGCTTACACATTGAGTATATATGGTACGTCTACATTCTGAAAAGTCCAGCACATCTTTTCCAAGCTTAGCAACTTTTCAGAGGTGTGAACTTCAACTCCCAGAATTCCCCAGTCATGACTGGCTAAGGAATTCTGGGAGTTGAAGTCCAAACCTCCTAAAAGTTGCTATGGTTGAGAAATATTGCTCAAACAAAGGGGGACAACGGGCCCCCAAGTCAGAATACCACCTAGCCACCCGAAATCATATGCACTGGCATTTTTAAACTGGGAATAACCGGACACAGTGCACAATCTGCACTGAGCACTATAACTGCACCATTGAAAGGAAGTGCTAATTTAGCGTGTCAATCCAAACACTAGAAAACCATTTTAAAAAATTTGATACCATCTTCAAGTTGGATTTTAGCCATACTGAGGAGGGGGAGTTTTCACTTATTACCTACAAGTTGCCCAATAATCACAGCTAACTTGCTCCTGAATCTGGGGGATCTACAGAGCTATTAAATAGCTAAATTACAGCAAGGGGGGTGGGGATTATACTAATAATGGAAGGCTCAAAATATGCTGGCTCGGGGCCTCAGGGAAGCCATTTTAATGAGCAGCTAGCTTCAAAGCTCTTCTCTTCCGCGGAGGCTTTGCCTTCTTCCTAAAACTAACTTGACAATCTAAGCCTCCAATCCTCTGTACTACCCTATTTCTTTTTCTCTCTCCAGCCTAACTCTATCTTCCAAAACCACCACATTTAAATTCTATAGCTCGACTTCCTTTCTACTCCCACATCCGGCCCCCACAAGCCAGGCTGCCCAATTCCAATACTTTTTAGGGACTAGCGCCTTGACTAGTCGTCTCACAAGGAATAAGGCTAACTCCGCCACAGTCACAGAGGGGACATCCTGCCCATGAAGTCGCTAGGGCCCTGCTCGGCTCCCTCCCACAAGCCGCCCACGCTGTAACTCTCAGCCGAGTGATCCTTCTGATGGGTGGTCAAGGCCGAATGGGAACCGAAGCTCCTCCCGCATTCGTTGCAGATGTAAGGGGTGTATATGGAATGTGTCCTCATGTGCCGGGTGAGTTTGGAACTGGAAATGAACCTTTTCCCGCATTCGGTGCAGCCGTACGGCCTCTCCCCCGTGTGGACCCGCTGGTGGGTGTTGCGCGTCGACAAATGGCTGAAGCTTTTCCCGCACACGTTGCAGAGGTACGGCTTCTCGCCCGTGTGGATCCGCTGGTGCTTGCTAAGGTTGGAGCTGTAGCTGAAACTTTTCCCGCACTCGGGGCAGCTGTAGGGCTTCTCGCCCGTGTGGACCCGCAGGTGCTTCGTCAGATCCGAGTTCTGCTGGAAGCACTTCCCACAATCCGGGCAACCGTAGCCGTACGGCATCTCATCCATGTGGATCCGCTGGTGAGTGACCAGCCCCCGGTGCTGGCTGAAGCAGGACCCGCACTCGGCACACACGTAGGGCATCTCGCCCGTGTGGGTCCTCTGGTGGATCAGCAGGTTGGAGCGCTGGGCGAAACATTTGCTACACTCCGGGCACTGGTGCGGCTTCTCCCCCGAGTGGATTCTCTGGTGCTTCAAGAGGTTGGAACTCTGACGGAAGCATTTCCCGCACTCGGGACAGGGGTACGGCTTCTCCCCCGTGTGGATCCGCCGATGGATGGTAAGGCTCGAACGCTGCGTAAAATGCTTCCCGCAGTCAGGGCACTGGTGCGGGCTCTCCGCCGCGTGGACCCGCTGGTGTTTGAAGAAGGACGGGCTTGGGCGCAAAGCTGTCCTGCTATCGGGACTTTGGAAGCTCCTCTGGACCAGCTGGGCTCTGCCGGGAGCCTTCAGCCCATTTTCGGTAGTTCGGTTCAGGGCCTTCTCAGGATGCTCCCCGTTGGCGTTCCCCAAGTCTGAAACAAAAAGGAAGAAGCTTTATTTGGTGGGTCCAGTAACATTTGGGATCTAGCCACCCCAACCCAACCCCCCGCAGTCGTTTCCTGTCTGGACTACTACAGTGTGCTCTACCTGGGGCTGCCCTTGAAGAGTGCTTGCAAGTTGTAGCAGGTCCACAAAGCAGCGGTATGGGAAGCCTTAGATGCTTCACATCATGCCCGTGTCACACCTGACTTCTGAAAAATGCACTAGTGTAATGATATATGGCAGTGGTGGCTAACCTTTTTGGGCTCCTTTTCCAAAAATTGAAGGCAATGCGCATGGGGGGGCTCCACGCTCCCTGTGCATGCGTGTTCCAATCCCCGCCTCCGCCGCCCCCTTACTTGCACTGCACCTCCCAGCTGATTTTCGGCCTTCCAGAGGCTCAAGGCCAAAAACTGGGCCCGTTTCACCACTTCTGGTATTTCCGGAAATACAGGAAGTGATGAAATGGGCCTTTTTTTTTCAGCTTACAAAGGCTGCAGAGACTTCCCTCGGCCAAAAAAAGGCCTCAAACGGGCCGAAAATCAGCTGTAAGGCCCGCGCATGTGCAGTGAGGTAAGTTTGCCTGGGGCTTGCGTGCCCACACCAATAGCTCTGCATGCCACCTGTGGCACACATGCCATAGGTTCGTCATCACAGATATGTGGGAATGAAGGTATAGGACAACTCGACGCGGCCACCTTTGTGCGACCAACGCACTGTAGGATAACTTGCGATGGACAATTTCACACAAGGTAATTCAACACGATAAAGGCTATCTGCCACTGTTTCTCTGACATTAGGACAAAAATGGAAATAATAGCAATAGCATTTAGACTTATACCGCTTTACATTGCTTTTACAGCCCTCTCTCATTCCCAGAATTGTCAGTACTTCTGAATTTTGGATGAGAATTCTAGGCCTTGGCTTCCCCACAACTGTGTAGCACAGTTGTTTGAGACAGGTGATCTTACAGCTTCCAAAGAACCAAAGGCAGGAAATTCTTACCCAGGATTCTGGCATCTTGCTTCATCTCTCGGTGAATCCGCTTCAGCCCAGCACCCATAGGAGATGGTTTCATCTCAGCCCAGCTCATCACTTGAGTTCCCCGAGTCTGAAAGATGAGCAGAAAAGCAGGGGGAATAAAAAAAATCGATGTTTTTTTTAATTAATTAAAAATCAGGGGTTTTCTTTTTATTTAAATTGGATTTTATTATTTAAATCAGATTTTTTTTAATTTAAATCAAATTTATTTTAATAAAATGCTTTTGGAGAAAAAAAAATCTATCTGAATTTAGTTTTCTATTAAAGATACATTAATAATTTAGTTTATTCAGCATAAAATGGAGCTTAGTCATGTAGCATGAGGCTGTATATTCCGCAATATTTGCATTTTGGGTAAACTCATTCAATGAATCCAAGCTCTGCAAGCTGACATAACATGCACTGCATTGATGCAGTCAGACAATTTTACAGTAACCATGAGGTAAATCATCAAACAAAGTTCAAGAATATTCCTTTATCCCATTGTTTTGCAAATCTATGTACTACAAACTGTATGATTGTTTGAAGAGAAATGCATCTGTACCACCAGGCTCTAAGTGTGAGGAGGAAGGGCAAGCAGTAAAAATGAAAGTGAAGCTGTCTTAAGCAGCTTATATAAATCTTCTATGTATATAAAAGCGAAATATCACTCATGCATCAAAAAATCTCCAGAACCGTAAAGCCTACAAACTTGAAATTTGGCACGTATGTTCCTCTTGGCTTCTAGGTGCTAAGAAAGGATTTTTTTAAATGACCATCAGAGTAATAGTATTTTGTATATTATTATTAAATGCTCTGATGCTAAGGAGTTCTATTTCCCCTCCCCATATGAAAAGAAATCTGTTCCAAATGCAAAACACAAGCACAGGAGAAGAGTTTCAGTTCAGTTGAGCTAAGCCATGCCCAGGCTCCTTGCTGTCTCCTCCTTGCTCACACAGCAAATACTGTTTCAGTTTCCAAACAGTCCTCAACTCACTCACACAGACAGGACGCTAACCAGATGAAAACTGATGGATGCTGGTAGGCAGAGGCAGAATTTTTTCCCCTCATTTTCCTCCCCACAAACTAAGCCCGATCACATAGTTTCGTAGCAAAGCACGGGTATAGAGCTAGTGTGTAAACAAAACCTCTTCCAGGAAAATACAAAACAACACTTAAATTCATCACCGCACAACCATTTTGTGCCAAGGACAAGGCAGCTTAGCTCTGTCAGTCATATACCTGTTTCCCCTTTCTTTCAGCCTCTTGCTGCCTGATCAGGAAGGCCTCTGCCAGGGGCACGGCTTGGGCACATGACTCCGGGCCGTGTTCCCGCACCCAGCTCTGGATCTCCTGGGGCAGAAGAGTCAGGAACTGCTCCAGGACCAGAAGGTCTAACATTTGCTCCTTGGTGTGTTTCTCCGGCTTCAGCCATCCCCGGCACAGTTCCCGAAGCTGGCTACACACCTCCCGGGGCCCCCAGGCTTCGTGGTAGCGGAACTGCCGGAAGCGTTGGCGCTGCGCCTCCATCCGGAAGGCATCCCCTTTCAAGATGGCCGCCTTGACTTTGGCGTACTCGCCTCGGTCCTGGAGACTGAGACTACTGTAGGCTTCCTTGGCTTCGGTGCCCAACACAGGCACCAAGCGTGCCAACCACTCTCGGCGGGGCAGCTGGCAGGTTCCAGCCAGGCGCTCAAAAGAGGCGAAAAAGGCTTTGTTGTCCACCCACGGGGCGGGTCCCTCGGACAGCTGCTGGTGTCCCTCCCCTAGAGGAGAGGCCCGGAGCGCAGCGAGGAACTCCTGCCATTGGGTTTCCCAGAGTTCGGGCAAGTCCTCCCTGGGCTCCTGCTTCATTTGCCGTGGGGCAGCCCAATTCAGGAACTCTCGAATGGTGCCCACTTGGAGGACGCGAGGCAGTTTCCCAGCCCGGTCCGCTCCCTCTGCCCCTCGGGGGCTGACGGTTTGACGCTCTTCCACTTTGACCCCTCTGTGCCTTGGGAGGCCATCCGTTCTCCTGGCCCTCTGTTCAGCTGCCATGGCCTCTCGAAGAGCAGGCGTCGCTGACCACAAAATTTGCAATTTCAGTCAGCCTTGGGCCAGAAGCTTGCAGGAATATCCCAGAATTTCTCTCTCTAATACAGCTGGCAGTTTCCCTCCAAGATGGGAAGGCTTTTAAAGAAGCAGTGAGCTGTGCGACATAATTCAGCAGCGAAGTGGCACTCTCTGAGGAGAAAAGAAAAAAAGGAAGAATTTGAGAAACTGTCAGCCCAACAAAAAGACCAGACCAAGAATGATTTCCCCAGGAGGGCTAAAACTAAAACTTTTCTAGATGGTCCTCGACTTAAGACAGTTCATTCAGTGACCGGTTAAAAGCTTCATTGAAAGTGATTTGGGGCTGTCTGTCACACTCACGACCATGGCAGAATCCCCACAATGACGTGATCGAAATTCAGACGCTTCACAAATGACTCGTATTTATGACGGTTGCAGTGTCCCAAGGTCATGGGATCGTTTTTTGCGACCTTCTGACAAGCAACATCAACAGGGAAGTCAGATTCACTTAACATGATTAACTTAACAACTGCGGCAAAAAAGATCCCGCTTAAAAATGCCTCACTTAACAACAGAAACTCTGGGCTCAATTGTGGTCGTAAGTCAAGGACCACCTGTGTTGGGAATGGCTATTGCACCACGGTCTTCCTAGTCTGATTGTACTGTCCCCACTTCCCCCTTATACCCACGTGAAGTAGAGACGTAAGCTTTTTCTGCATTATTTTCGCCTTGTTTTTTGCCTTGTCTTCTTCTCCTGACTTTGGTAACAAGATCTGGCTTATCTCTGCCAAGATCAAGATAGAAATTTATTCAGTAACTTCCTGATTCTTTATAGCCGTGATAGCGAACCTGTGGCACACAGAGCCACAGGTGGCACACAGAACCATTTGTGTGGGCACGCAAGCCCCAGTCAAACTTACCTGCACTGCGCATGTGCACGCTTTCCCAGCTGATTTTCGGCCAGTTTGATGCCATTTTCAGCCTCCCGGAGGCTCGAGAGAAGCCTCTGTAGCCTCGGGAGGCCAAAAAAACAGGCCTTCTGAAAATACCGGAAGTGCCCGTTTTTCGGCCTCCAAAAGGCTGCAGAGGCTTCCCTCTAGCCCCTGGGAGGGCGAAAACAGCCTCCCCCAGGCTGTAGAGGCCCTCCAGAGGCTAAAAATGGGCACTTCTGGTATTTCCAGAAGGCCCGTTTTTCGGCCTCCCGAGGCTACAGAGGCTTCCCTCGAGCCTCTGGGAGGCAGAAAAAGGCCTCAAACCACCTGAAAATCAGCTGGGAGACACGCATATGCACAGTGCAGATAAGGGGAGGTTGCGCTCACATGCACGGGGGGCAGGGCACATTGCATTGTGGGTGCCAGTGCACACGCGCTTTCATCAGATCCTAACAAAAAGGTTAGCCATCACTGCTTTATAGAATCGCTACACAGATGATCTCAGAAGGCTTTTCAGCCCAGGCACATCCAGTTGCAGGTAGTCCTCGACTTACGACCACAACTGAGCCACAAAATGTATGCTGTTTACGTGAGACATTTGTTGTGGGTTTTACCACCTATTCTAGACACCATTGTTAAGTGAATCACTGACGTAACTGAGTAACACAGTTGTTCAACGGATCTGGCTTCCCCATTGATTTGGCTTGTGAGAAGGACACAAAAGCTGACCCACGGACACTGTGACCATCACAAATATGAACCGTGTGACTAATTTAACAACCGCAGTTGTTCGCTCAACAACGGTGGGAAGAAATGTTGTAAAATGGGACAAAGCTCACTTAATAAGTGTCTCATTAAACAGGAGACATGTTGGGCTCCACTGTGGACGTACGTCACAAGATAGAGACTCCCAAAACATGTTGCCACCTCCTGACAGGACAAAAGTTTTAACTGTCATCAGAGATTCAAGCACATTGGGAGATTGTAGCAACATTGCTTATAATGAACTAGTTGCACACTTTACAACTGTGCAAGGGAGGTTCATATTAGACAATAGATGTGCAGCAGGGTGAGGAAACAGGATGGAAGTGGAAGATGAGATGGATAATTAAGATTAAATAAAGGCTACAGCTGTATAGATATGTATCTACATTAGAAATAACTCCGCAACTCTTATAGCTTCATTGTAAACACAACTTTAAGGAATGCACTTTCATCCCAAGGCTACCACAACTTGGCCTGCTACTCACAGGACCTTTGATATGCAAATATTAAACGGGCAATAAACATAAATAGAACTAAAGAGCTTTCACCTGTTAATCCAGGCAGATCAAAGCCATCCTAACAGACCTAACTGCAGGAGCCAATTCAGAGCTGGAAAACCTGCAGGACTGGCACCTGCCTTTTCTAAACTAAAAAAAAAAGCACTCAACTCCAAATCCCATCATCCCTACCATTACAATTTCCTATCTGCATAGACATCACCCACCCCCCATGCTTCTTTCTACACTTTCCTGCAAAGAGGGGATGCCACTGCACAAGCCACCCTTCCTAAGTGGCCGGCCTTTTTGCTTGGCACAAGATTACATAGCCCTCACTCCCCTGACAGCAAGGAGATGGGTGCTGTAGTCCATACTAGCCATAGAACCCCAGAACTGGGAAGCCAGCAGGCCTGGACCTCTAAAATTGCACGGGGCGGGGCAGAATTACACTTCCCTTGCTTCCTGGCCAAGGTGTTGAGAAGATGGGAGTTGTAGTGCATCCTAGCCAGAGCCTGGAGCAGGGAAGCCAACAGGCCCGTACTTCAAAATTGCACGGATTTTTGCACGGTGCAAGATTACACTTGCTGACTTGCTCCTTGGCCCAGCAAGCGAGAGAATGGGAGTTGTAGTACATCCTAGCGGCAGAGCCTGGAGCGGGGAAGCCGCCCCAGACCCGGACTTTGAAAATTGCACGGGTTTTGCACGGCGCAAGATTACTCATCCCCCCTGCCCCGGTAAGCGAGAGAATGGGAGTTGTAGCGCTTGGAAGCAGGGAAGCCATCAGGGCCGGAAAATTGCACGGGGCAGAAATTACACTTCCCCGCCAAGATAGTGAGAAGATGGGAGTTGTAGTGCATCCCTAGCCAGAGCCTGGAGCGTAGAAGCCAGCAGGCCCGATCTTCAAAATTGCACGCATTTTTGCCCGGCGCAAGATGACATTTGTTTCCCCCACCCCCACCCCAGCAAGCCAGAGGGATGGGAGTTGTAGTGCATCCTAGCCGCAGAGCTTGAAGCAGCGGAGCCAGCAGGCCCGATCTTCAAAATTTTGCACGGCGCAAGATTACGCTTGCTCCCCGTTCCAGCAAACGAGAGGGATGGGAGTTGTAGTGCATCCTAAACCGCAGAAACCCGGAGGCGGGAAAGCCAAGCAAGGCCCGGACTTGAAAGACTTTGCAGCTACTGGGTTCCTCTCCGCTCAGGAACAGGACGGGGGGGGAGGGGGGGACACCGCCGGGTCCCCCTTGCATTTTCGCCCCTTTGCAGCTCTCGTCTTTTTGCAAAAGTAGCTCACCGAACTGGAGCGCGCGCGCTGGTCCAGCTCCTCCGGAGGAGCCCCACCGCCAGTCTCTCCCCCCCGCGCCACTTTTCCCACCACTTACACAGGGGCAGATTAAAACAGCACAGGAAGGTGCATCGAGTATTTAAATCCCCCCTAAACTCCTCTCTTTCTCTCCAAGGCCTCTCTAGCAAGCAGCCTCTCTCGCTCCCTTTAACCCACTGAGTACCTCGCTCCGCTGAGCCCTCTCCCGAAATCAAGGCAGAAAGCAGAGGCTTTCTCTTGCGCCGGGCTGCAGGAGGTTTCCTTGTTTGGAATGGAATGGAATGGAATGGAATGGAGTAGGAATAGAATTGAACTGAATTAGGAATAGGAATAGAATAGGAATAGAATAGAATTAGGAATAGAATAAGAAATAGGAATAGAATTGAACTGAATTAGGAATAGGAATAGAATAGGAATAAGAATAGGAATAAGAATAAGAATAGAATAAGGAATAGAATAGAATTAGGAATAGGAATAGAATAGAAATAGAATAGGAATAGAATAGAATTAGGAATAGGAATAGAATAAGCAATAGGAATACAATTGAATTAGGAATAGAAATAGAATAGAATAGGAATAAGAATAGGAATAAGAATAGAATAAGGAATAGAATAGAATAGAATAGAATTAGGAATAGGAATAGGAATAGAATAGAAATAGAATAGGAATAGAACAAGGAATAGGAATAGAATAGGAATAGAATAGAATTAGTAATAGGAATAGAATAAGGAATAGGAATAGAATAGGAATAGAATAGAAATGGAATAGGAATAGGCATAGAATAAGGAATAGGAATAGAATAGAAATAGAATAGGAATAGGAATAGAATAAGGACTAGGAATAGAATAAGGAATAGGAATTAGAATAGGATAGGATAGGATAGGATAGGATAGGATAGAATAGAATAGAATAGAATAGAATAGAATCTAGTCCAACCCGCTGCTGAGGCAGGAAACCCTATGTACCATTTCAAATGGCTGTCCAACCTTCTTGAAAACTTCCAGCACTGGAGAATTCACAACTTCTGGAGGCAAGTTGTTCCACTGATTAATTATTCTGTCAGGAAATTTCTCCTTAGTTCTCCTTAGCTTATTGTTTTTTTTAAAAAAAAAATCATTTCTTTCTTTCTCCTATTTATCCGGCTGTGGTCTTTCGAGATTGTGGCTCTGAAGGATGGGGCCGGCTGGCAGGAATGAGCCTTGCAGCAGGGACACATTTTGACCTGGGCAGATGGGGGAGTTCTAGCTCCTTGCGATTTGTGAACTCCGTGAGTCCATTTACACATTTCTCAACCTTGGCAACTTTTGAGTTGTGGGGACTTCAACCGTTCCCCGCTCCCCCAACCTAAAGTTAGCTGACTGGAGTATTCTGGGAATAAGACCGTGCCTGGAATACCGCATCCAGTGTTGGTCACCACATTAGAAAAAAAAAAGATGTTGAGACTTTGGGGGGGGCGGGGAGAGTGCAAGTAATCAGCTCAGCCAAAACTCCCATCATCTCCGATCGGCCAGCTTGGCTGGGGATGCTGGGCTTGGGGATCCCACCTTCCCCCTCTCTCTCTCTCCACTTTGGAGCGCGCGTAAAGGGCTCTCTCCCCTGCGCCCGCCGGTAGCTTCTCTTTCTCGGGAAGCCGGCGCGGCCAGCAG